ATAAAGCAGTTTTTCCCTGTATCCTGGCGAGCATCTAAATAGGACACAGCATCACCCACAAGTAGTGCTGTGCTCCTATTGGCTGCTTAGAGGCAAGTTTTGGACTGTTCCAGCACCACACCCAAAAAACCCTCAGGCGATTGGTCATGGTCAACTACTGTTACCTGACTGCCTACTTGCCTGTACTGCTACACCCATGTCCTGTAACTGATACTGCTTCAAAGCACCGGGATGATTCATAAAATCTAAACTTTTCTGTAGCTTCTATAGTGCTACAGAATCGAGGACAACACCCTCTATCCTGTCCTTGTACTTTATCTTGCATGTGCAGAACAGTGGTGATTAACGAGGTGGTTGACTGCCTCTACTGTAACCTCGGCCACTAACTTCTATACTCATTTGTATGCTGTGCTATCACTTACTTGCTCTAGCCTCGTGTTTGTTACTTACAGTCGTTCTAAACTTATTCTAGCCTCGTATCTGTCACTGACTGCAGTTATAAAAAAAAACGGTTTCTAGCCCTGTGCTTGATACTTATCTTTCAAGGCTTATTTTTCATGCTATGCTACACAAGCCTCTCCTTGTCTTTAGTTTTTTATATGTCCTTCGAGTCGTTGACTCGTTATTTGTCCTTCGACCTATTCATTCTCTTTCTATCTCTCTTCTGTTTCTTAACTTTTCTAAGTTTTCTAATATAACTTCGTTAATTCTATTTAAATTCACAGAAGCAATGGATGAAATTTCCACAGAAATTTCCCTTTGCTTCACATATCTGGCAACAAGCTTGAAGGGACAACCACTGGAAATACTTGGACAGTTGACAGCAGTCAACAGACACAACTATAGAGCATTGGTGTCGGCTCTAGAACTCAGGTACGGAACCCAGAATCAGTCAGAAGTCTACAGGGCCAGGTTCAGGACGAGAGTCCGTGCTAAAGGGGAGAGCCTGCAAGAGCTGGCACAGAACTTGGAGAGCATGACACACAAGGCCTACCCTACTGCACCACCCGATCTCCTCAAGTTGTTGCTGAGGGATCAGTTTGTAGATGCCTTGGACAGTCCACAACTTAAGATACAAGTGAAGCAAGCACACCCCTCTACCATGCAGGATGCAATGGCCAGAGCTCTCGAATTTGAATCCTACGTTAAGTCCAGCACAGAGGTACCGAGGTTGGTACAGTCATCTAGATTCAAAGCCAGAAAAGGTCAGCTTTCAGAGAAGTTTGAGAGACTTTGCTGGCACTGTAACAAACTTGGGTACAAGAGAGCTCAGTGCTGGCAACTTTAACACAGGGGAGACGATACAGCAGTAAAGGCTGTTACCAAGAAAGGCTGTTGGAACTGTGGGGAGCAAGGACATCTGAGGAGCCAGTGTAAGAAAAATACCACCAATAAGTCAGCTTCGGGAAACTAGTAGTGGTTGGTGCTAAGGGACGCCCACCAACCTCCATGGTGAAAGTCCCAACAGCTAAGTGTATAATGGCAAGTACACATAGTATCTATGTGACAGGGAAGCTGGATGGCCAAAGGTGCAACTTTGTCATACATTCTGCATCTCAGCAGACCCTTGTGAGCATCAAGGTGCTGGATAACAAAGGAGAACCAGAAGCTGTACAAAAGCTCTGTGGTGTGACAGGACATTCTGCAAGGTTGTGGGGACCAGTGTGGGTAACTATCGAGCTGATGGGCATGAAAAGCAGACAGAAAGTATACTTGGCTGACATTGAAGACCAATGCATATTAGGATTGGACCATCTACTACCAAGGAAGTGTGTAGTTAATTTCGATAAAATGACGATTGGAAACAACAAAGTCCAGACTCCAGTAAGTATGGCTACATCCGTTGATCTGCATATCACAGCACTTAAATCAACTACAATACCCCCGATGTCAGAGAAGATAATTTGGGGAAGGATAAAATAACATCCCTATGGAC